TTAACAGTGATTTAGTGTGTCACAAGCGAACACAATACAGCGTGTTAAGTAGAAGAGTACACTATTTAACAAACTGACAAAGTAAATCTTTCTCTGTAGCCGGGTAGCCACTCTCGCGTGGGAAAATGACGAAAACTCGTGTAAAAAAAGGGCCTTTTCTAATAACACAATGTTGGGTGGCTGACGGTATTCGAACTCACGACCTTGTGTTTGCTATTCGAAGAGCACAACGCCACTTTACTAAGATAGAGTAGGCCTACTATTTTAAAAAGGCAGCCGGTATTTTCACATGTGGAAATAAAATCTATATTCACAACCTGTCGTGGAAAAGAAAGCCTGGCGCATGTTTCACGACTGTCTTTTTTTTTTTTTTTGACCAATCAGTAAACAGCTGTGTCAAACCAGAGGATGTATATAAATAGACTTTCTGTACTTCTGGCCATGCTTTTCTTGTAACATCAATTTAGAAGGTTGAAATCATATAGATCAACATTTTCATTCAAGGTTAGATCTTGAGTCTACCTTAGTTAGGCCTACCCCTTTCTCTTTGAAAGACCATTCTCTCTCTCTCTCTCTCTCGCTAAGTGGCGAAGCTAGGCCGAGAATCAAGGCCTACTCAAGCCTACTGTGATAAACCTGCGCATTTTTTTTTAAACTTTAAAAAATAATAGATCTAGAGTGCCTGCAAATAGGCCTACAGCTTACTGCCGAGGGTTAGATTCTAGAAAGTGGAGACGAAAGCAGATGACAGAATATCGTTAGAGAGCAGGAAAGGATGTGAAAGGAGAACAATTTTAAAGAAGAATGCCTTTGCTATCCGGATTCCAACCGGGACGTACCGTATTGAACGAGGGGTAATCTCCTTAAACTCTTAGACCACGCGAGCGGGTCGCCGCTGGATTTCTTACTTACTCAAACTTACTGTCACGCTATTGTGTCTCATTGGTTTCTGGTGACAACTGCTGCATCGTTTCTATGCTTCTTTTGCCAAACACTTTTATGCTGTTATTATGCCACTGTGTTTCTTTTTTACCTGACAATAATATGGTTGATTTTCCGGCGTTTTTATGCAGTGACGTATTAGTGGCTGACATTACACCTTCCGCCTTTTTTAAGGCGTCAGAACATGTGTTGTAGCTTCCTTTGCTCTCTCTCTCTCTCTCTCTCTCTCTCTCTCTCTCTCTCTCTCTCTCTCTCTGTCTCTCTGTCTCTCTCTCCCTATCTCTCTCTCTATCTACCTGACTGCAGATGGATCCATTGTTTGTATGTTTACGTGCAAGTTAGCGAAAGGCCTTAGGTTTGTCCCGCTTTTCCCGGCTTCTCTCCCCATGTTGTTTCTGTATGTTTGATTATCTTTTCCCCTTGGCATCGTGCAACTGGGATGTTTTCAGCCGGTGGGGAAATGATATAACGAGGATAATGAAAGGAAGGAATATAAGAAAAGATGAAAAAAGAAAGCGACCAAAAACCAAAAAAAAAGGTGTACCCAAGTAGAATAAACAGTGAGACGCAGGATGAATGACACTGGCATGTTGCTTGGGTCATGGCAAGTTCTTGGCATTCTACTTTCCCTGTGTTCTGGGTTTTGATATTTGGTAGGAGTAAATGTCTCTTGTCCTCTTTCTCTCTATGTATGCAATTTTTCGTCTGCCTGCCTGCCTGCCTGCCTGCCTGCCTGCCTGCCTGCCTGCCTGCCTGCCTGCCTGCCTGCCTGCCTGCCTGCCTGCCTGCCTGCCTGCCTGCCTGCCTGTCTGTCTGTCTGTCTGTCTGTCTGTCTGTCTGTCTGTCTGTCTGTCTGTCTCAGTTGGTTGTTGGCTGGTGCTTTGGTATGGTTTTTCTGTCTTTCTCAAACGTCTATCATCCTTACTTCTCCTTTTTTGTATTGTTACTCTCTTGTACAATGTAACACCTATATAATCATCGGTTCTTATTTGACCCAATAGTGTGGCAAGTGCCGGAAAACGCTTTTTAAAACAGCAAAATCGCGCGTGCGTGAACGAGAACATTTTTTATTCTTTGTTTACGTGGGTGTACTTGCATTCATTATTCATTTCTCTCTCGTTGATCGACTATCTTAATTAAGGTGTAAGTTGTGCTCGTGCGTGTCACTGCGTACGTGATCCTGTGTGGGCGTGGAGAGATACTTTTATTAGTTCACTATTTTATCAATTGAGACAGAACTAGTCAAAATGGTAAAAATTGAGTTTTTGGTACATATATATAAATTAAAGAAGACTTCTGTGCATTTATTGATTGTGCTCATGGCACTCTAGTTAACGGTGTAACGATAAAAAGGGGGAAAGCTGCTGTGTATTACAAAGCAAATAGACCGAAGTTCATGGTTTTTGCCAGGGTTTTTTTTCCGTTCTTAAAAAGTTGGCACAGTCTTGCTCTCAGGTCTTCAAATGGGAACACTGCTCATTGGCCACATCTTTGGCGTCACCGTTGAATCTTCTCATAGTACTTATGTTTTCAAGTCAACACACTGTTAGCTTGCTCATTTTCGTCAGCCCGTGTAAAAAATATTCTGGCTCACTTTTCTGTTTCCACGAAACTTTGCATGGCATATATGCAGACCAACAAACGGAACCTTAAAAAAAGAATCTCGATCCAGTAATAAAAAAGCACCTCTATTTAAAAGTCTGCTGAACCGTGTTGCTTTGGCGGTCGTGAACGTGTGATGTTGAAGAAAACAGGGCAACTTTTTAATGTTTTAGTTGTACGCTGTAAATGCCCTTTTATTATTATTATTTTTAAAAATCCATTTCAGGCTAACATTAAGGAAAACGTGAACGTAGTGACCATTCAGATTTTATTGGTCATCCAACTTTTAGACCCGCGTGCAAAGATCTGAGAAGATTGAACAGAAGGGTTTGATTTGATCTCGTTTTAACCATGGTCAGACAAAAGTGAACAGCTGTTTCTTTTAGGTCTTATTTTTCTGTTTTCCCTAAGTTATTTCTGCCTTTTTGTCTTCCTTTGTCCTCTGTACTAAATGGTCGTAATCTTGTAATTATGCTTCCGTCAGTGCAAAGAAGCTTTATTTTGAATGTGGCATTAATTTTTTTGTTCTCAGAAAAATGGTGGTTAGTGTTGCCTCTGTGGGTGGTTGGAGGGTATCACTTGTAGTTCATACTTTTTCTTTCCTTCTGTGGTTTTTGTCTGTTTTACTTTTCCCTGGCATTCAATGGCCATTATTTTGTCGCCGTGCTTCTCTGTGCTCACACAAATAAACAAACAAATTGGTGCTTCTTAGATACTGCAAAAAGAGAGGCAATAAAATGGGTAGGCTGCTTGATAAGTCCAGTGATAAGACTTGATTTCAGCATATTGCGCCCAAGAGTAGAATATGTTTTTCTGAACCTGCAGCTGAACATTTCCAAATCGGGAACCACACCTTTTGCTTTGGGTTTGTAATATTGTGAGCTCTATGTCTAGCTGCTTTGCTTTCAGGCTTGAGTTTTTCCACCTCATGTTTTCCTAGCTCTAAATGATTTATCGTTTCGATGTGCTTCCTTTTACTCAAGTTAATTCTTAATCCAGGGATGGTTGAACGGTATGGTACCTATACTCATCCTCAGTTCAACATTCTTGTCTTCAGGTGGCTGGCTCTTGCTGTACAGTGCCCGAGAAAGAGGACAGGCTGTTATAGGGTTTGAGAGACCCATAACACGGTGAGTGGTAAGATAAGATTACATTTTTGTCCCTTTACAGAAATAGAATGCATACATAAACTTCAAATTGTATATTGCTTTCATGAAAGAATTTTACTCTGAGAAAATAAAAGTTGATTACAATACATATTATATCAAATGCATCTCTGAAAGCACATACAGGGATTTATCACAGATTTTTTTTGGAATACCAGAGTATATTTGTATATTGTCGACTAGCAGATAAAATGTCACATGCCAAAAATGTTCAAGATTTGGGAGAGGCAGTGAGGCAAGAGAAAGATATGGACTGGAATACTGTCATGGGGACCCAAGCAAAGGAACTACCAGAGAAATTGAGCATCATGTGCATGGATCTTTTATGTGTTTGTTGTGCCTCATGCTCAAGGCATCGGCTCTGCTCTTTAGACCAAAGCTTGCTTTGCATAACAATAGTGTACAACATGACTACATACTATATGGGATGTGAATGTCTAGCATGAGGGGAAAGCTGTACTGACGTCTGACGAATTTTCTTTTTGCAGCATAGACCTGGTACAATCTCTTGCCAAGACCAATGGAAAAAAAATGCTGTGTTATGAATGCCTTTACCAAATTAAAAACGCTATTGTTACCTGTGCCATATCAGGTTTAACTAGTGGGCTCAACATCTCAATGGAACTGAGGTATCTGACAAAGGGACACACCCAAATGGAGATCCATTTTATGTCTATACACTTATCTTCCGACTTTGTTAAAAAAAAAAAAGCCTTTGGATTGGCTCGTCAAAGTCCTCAAACTACACAGAGTCAAATATGTCTTTATTCAGCAAATATTCGTCAGTAGAGTAATACATGACCGTTTAACCTGGAAAAAAGCTGGGGACACATAAGTGATTAACATACAAGAGCCCCACTGTTCCTCACAAGGGGACAATCAGTACAAGCTTGATTTTCTGTGATGGCTGGCAAGACATGCTCAAACCAGGCTAGCACAAGCGAAGTACTACGGCCATTGCTCTACACTTGCAAAGAAGACCTGTCACAAGTACAAGATAACCAACATTTACAGGAATTGAAATCAGTAATTCTGGCTGAGGCCCACGTCTTTTATGACACTTTAAACCATTGTTTTGTAAACGTATATTTTGAAATACATGTATAACGTATGAATATTTGATTGTGTGCACAAAAGCATGTGTGTATGTGTGTGTGTGTGAGAGAGAAAGAGAGAGAGATAATGAATAAATGTGACAGCGCATTTAAGCATTAAAAGCATTCTCATCTGAGAAAAGGTAAAATAGGAAGGCCAAGTGAAACACTTATTAAAATATTATAATACTTACAATTTGTACAATACTTATATTTCTAGTAATACTTTGAAGCAATAGCAAAAAGGAAAAATACTAAAATTTGTCAAGAGTACAGTTTAACGTTACCTCTGTAATGAACCGGCTGAACCTTTTCTTGTCTGACAGTTCCACAGTAATTTTTTGTTCCTTAAAGGTCAATAAACGTCAATAATATCTATAGAAGCTGCAATTATGTATACTGATTTGTTCCATAGCAAACCTCAATACATGGTGGCTTAATACATTTTTATCTGCATTAAAAAGGGATAGAACAAGGTACCTTCTGGCCGATTATTTCATTTGAAAAACATCTTTTCGTGAGATGATTTATCGTTACCAATAGGTAATGCTTTTACCTTCTTTCATTATTTGTTTAGAAGTGTGAGTGTATAATTTTAAAAAGAAGGAAACAGGTTTTTTTTCTCTCATGAAAAACTGCTTTCAGGGCTTGTGACATTTTACCAGCTGGTGAATGATACGTAGGCCTACGTAGATTTGAAAAAAATCAATAGCAAAACACATTTATGTTCGTTCTGACAGCAGCCTTATCGCAGATGGTAGGAAACATCTTTTGTGGCCTTTTTTGTTGGATTGTAATGGTATTTATTTGCCACTGCATGATTTTAAGGTGGGGAGGGGGGTTGGCCACATCTTTTTAGGATTTAATAGGGGATTGTGTGAGTTCAGTAGCTGATGTGTTTTCCGTCATCGTTATGGGTTTTGTGTAGCCTTTCAAAAGTCCAATTACATATATTCTTATAATGGAAAAAGTATTGTTGCTCTTCTCACCGGATGTTTTGTTCTCTTGATCAGATAGCATTGTGTTCAGTTGAAATTTTAAGTAATCGGTTTTTGTTCACTGGTGATGTGTACCTGGTGTGTTTTGGTTTTACATTTATGTTTTATTCAGCAGGACCTTCTTTTTTGAGGATTTTTTTTGGTTGAAAATAGAATTCTTCACCATTCCGTAGCTTGATGTTTAAAAAAAGGAATGGTGAATGATGGTCTGTTCGATTTGTCTTCAATGGAGGATGATATGAGGATTCTACACTGGGTTTTTTTTTTTTTTCCCTTCCCTATTTTCTTGTTAATGATTTTGGTACTTTTTCTAGTTGTGTTAATCTCTTTTTGTCAGCTGAACAATTTTCTAAAACCCAAACTGGCTTTCTCCTGGAGTAATGTATGTTTGATGTTGTCTCTCCCCCAGCTCACGATGATGTTTTGTCGGTTTCGGAGATTACTGGAATGAGAACTTCTCTTCGTACACTGCCTCCGCCCGATCCCTTCAGCCGGCAGCCAGCGCCCACTGTCATCAGTCTGGGACAAGTTCGGTCCCGCCCACGGACCAGCAATGAGTATGTGGAGAGTCCACGCGCTCAGCCCTCCCTACCCCTCAAGTCACAGCATATTACCTCACTTGTAGGAGGTGGGGGTGGAGGAAGTGGAGGGGGCTCGCCAGGGTTTGCTCACCGAGTTGTGCCTCCCTCGCGTGTGGGGGTTGGTATTGGGAGCAACAATTGTGTTGTGGGTGGAGGGGGAGGAGGAGGCAGTCCTCGTTCGAATCTTCTGATTGGCAGTGGCCATAACAACAGCACCAGCACCTCGTTGACGTCGCCTTCCTCCCCAGTTATTTCCCTGCAGCCATTGTCTAAACCTTCTCCGCTTAAGAAGGAGTCTGTAGCTCTTCTGGATGGATCAGTGGTTGGGGATGGGCATCGGAATTTGGGAAGTGATGGTGGAGGGGGAGGCTTTGGAATTGGGCAGTCGAGAGATACGGCAACGAATGGGGCTGGGGGACAAGGTCCCAGCTTTGCGGCGGGCGCAGCAGCACCGCATGGAGCTTCAGATCGCATCATGTGCGATCAGTGTGGCAAGTGCCAGTGTGCAGCATGCACGGAACCACGGCCCTTGCCCTCCCACTGGTGCTGTCGGGACAAATGTGAAGTGAGCCCTGACAAGGTACTGGACGTGTGCACCTGCTTCTGCTGCATTAAGTGCACCTTCTACCATTGTGGGACAGAGGAGGATGAAAATGAGTGTTACGAACAGCCCTGTGGTTGTGGAGCCACGCCCCACTGCTGCCAGCGCTGGGCAGTCATCTCACTCATGGCCTTGTGCCTGCCCTGCCTATGGACCTACTGGCCAGCCCGCGGCTGCCTGGCCTGTTGCCGCCACTGCTACAATTGCAGCCGGCTGCGTAAGGGCTGCCACTGCCAACAAAATGGCAGTAGACATCCCAAGAAAAGTTCAGTGCTTTCAGGAGGAGGTGATGGAGGAGGAAGTGGTGGAGGGATTGTCGGAGGAGGAGGAGGAAGTTTAGGAGGGAGTGCCAGTGTGGGAGTTGGTGTTGGGGGAGGGGGGAGTACTGGAGGAGGCAACTCCAAACATTCACAAACTCGAAGGCTTCTCATCGAGTCTGACAGTTCGAGTGCTTAAGTGATATTTTGATCAGTTCATAGGTTCTGATTCTATGAGAATCTCGGGGTTGTTATCATTACTATAACGCATATGTTGTTTGTTGTTTTTAAAAAAAATGTTATTAGTGGCCTGTTGTGTGTATCTTCGGGTTTTTAAAAAAAGGGTTAAACGGGGTTCGTATATCATGATACGCTTGTCAGTCATGTTTTTTCTTTTCTTAATGTGCTGTCAGAATTGTACATCATCTTGGCATCAGGTCTTCAGAATATTCATTTCATATTTCACTTCACTGAATTTTTTACTCTAGAAAATTATAATATTGGTGCCATCTCTCATGTTCTGAAAGGTATTTTTGTAAAAAAAAGGAAGAAAAAATTTTTGGAGGAAAAAGGGAGAGAAAGACAATCAGTTGGTCTTTTTTGTTTTGTTTGTTTTGGGGTTGTTGTTTTTTTCTTTTGGTTAATTAACTTTATGTTGTTAAAGGTTTTAAATGGATTTGATGTTGTTCCTGTGTATTACATCAATCTTAGACTCGGCTAATAACGCTTTAGTGTGTTAAAATTATTTGGAGTTCGGCCAATGCAGAGCAGCACAAGGTCACCTGACAGTTGAATACTTTTTTCCGTTTTCTTTTCTTTCACTTTATTACCCCCCTCCCTGTTTCATGTATATGTATATAATATGAAGGGTCCCATTTGTTCTTGATGATGATACACACAACACTGTATTGAAACATGCTGCCATGTTTCAAAGATCCCTAGTCTGGCTTGATTTAAATCTATTGTGATAACAGTGAAGTGATATCGACTGATATCAACTGATAACAATGTAACTACCATGTATCTCACTCCCCC